CTGCCAAGTAAATTACACTGTCAAGGTCCAGAAAAGTATGAAAGACATCGTCAGAATAGTCCATCTGTCATCAGTGGTTCAACCGTAACGTTATGAAGCGACGAGAATACTTTTTGTATGCGAAGAAAACAAAAATAAACTTTTTTTTAACAATTCAAATTGTTGAGAAGAAAAGAGACTAATTGTTGAATAAAGTTGTTATTTTTGTTTTCTTTGCGTACAAAAAGTATTCTCGTCGCTTCATAACGTTACGGTTGAACCACTGATGGCAGATGGACTATTCTGACGATGTCTTTCATACTTTTCTGGACCTTGACAGTGTAATTTACTTGGCAGTCAATGGGACAGTCACAAGCCTCCCGGTTTTCATCCAAAATATCTTAAATTGTGTTCCGAAGACGAACGAAGCTTTTACGGGTTTGGAACGACATGAGGGTAAGTGACTAATGACAAAATTTTCATTTTGGGGTGGAGTAACCTTTTAAATTTGATCAAACCAAATTTAAGACATTTAAGGGCCCACGGGAATCCTGTAATATGACTAAATTAATATCTCATCCTAGCAAATTAACCCTTCTCATTCTGTCTTAAAAATTCAACAGTCAACAAGAATCACACTGATGAACTGTAATACAACAACATACGTGTCTTCCTGTGAACAATTTAATCATGTGAAAACTTAAAGGTTAGTCTTTTGGCTAAAGTGTGTATTTGAATGTACAAATACTTTTGTGGTAGTTGTCATTATGCCACAAATGTAGAGCTCTGCTTATATTTACTTTGAAACATTCTTATAACTTTTTAATGAAATCTCATTAGATGTATTTGGTTGACATCTGCTTATCAATATGTTTAAGCAATAAAAGAGGTCTGGCCACTGGTATTTTCATGCAGATTGTACTAAAAGAAAGGTACAGGATTTTTCATGGCAGACTTCATGCTTCATTTTCACAGTAACTCCATATTTAATTATAGCCAAAATGGTTAGAGGTCAAAATTTCATACGAATTATTTTCACTTCCCTAGTTCAGTTTTTTTTTTGCATGTTTAAAAGTCCAAGATCAGCACAACAGCAGTATTTTGTTAATTCAGCCAAATTATTTTAGTCTTTCACTAACAGTGATACTTCAAATGGTAAAAAGGAAAATTCCCTACAGCCGTCACAAACATAAAAAAAGTCAATGCACAGGACAGTATTACAGGACAGGACTACTGTGCAAAAGTCTTAGGCCACTAGTATTCTGATCTGATCTGATCATCATCCAGTCTGTCTGAGATTACACGAAGAAAAAGAACAAACTGAGACAGACTAAATCCAGAAGAACTGTGGCAACGTCTCCAAGATGCTTCAAAAAACCTTCCTGCAAAGCTACAGTACTGTTAAAAGTGTTAGGCACTTGTGTAAAAATGCTGCTTTCAAAAATAATGTCATAAATAGATTTTATTTATCAATTAACTTCTATTAACTAAATCAAATCAATATTTGGTGTGACCATCCTTTGCATTTAAAACAGCTTTTGTCCTTGCTACACTTGCACATAGTTGTTCAGGAAGGTTTCTTCAAGCATCTTGGAGACGTTGCCACAGTTCTTCTGGATTGAGTCTGTCTCAGTTTGTTCTGTTTCTTCATGATGATTCTTCTTAATGATGATGATCAGATCTCTGTGTGGAGCACTGGCTGCTGTCAGACTCATTGTGCAAACAAAGATCTCACTGGATTATTACCATTAATGGCAAAAGGAATGTTTGGAAATGTAAACTGATATTTCGTACTGACACACTGTAGAAAAAGATAGAAATAACTGACTTAAAACCATTTTTTGTTGGTGAAAATAGTAGTGGCTTAAGATTATATATAACTAACACTTCAAGAAACCAGTCTGAGATGATTTGAGCTTTGTGACATGGTGCATTATCCTGCTGGAAGTAGCCATCAGAAGATGGGTACACTGTAGTCATAAAAGGATGGACATGGTCAGCAACAATACTCAGGTAGGCTGTGGCGTTTAAACAATGCTCAATTGGTACTAAGGGGCCCAAAGTGTGCCAAGAAAATATCCCCCACACCATTACACCACCACCACCAGCCTGAACCGTTGAGACAAGGCAGGATGGATCCATGCTTTCATGTTCTTTACGCCAAATTCTGACCCTACCATCTGAATGTCGCAGCAGAAATCGAGACTCATCAGACCAGGCAACGTTTTTCCAATCTTCTATTGTCCAATTTTGGTGAGCCTGTGCGAATTGTAGCCTCCGTTTCCTGTTCTTAGCTGACAGGAGCGGCACCCGGTGTGGTCTTCTGCTGCTGTAGCCCATCTGCTTCAGGGTTCGACGTGTTGTGCGTTCAGAGATGGTATTCTGCATACCTTGGTTGTAAGGAGTGGTTATTTGAGTTACTGTTGCCTTTCTATCGTCTCTAACCAGTCTGCCCATTCTCCTCTGACCTCTGACATCAACAAGGCATTTTCGTCCACACAACTTCCGCTCGCTGGATATTTTCTCTTTCTCGGACCATTCTCTGTAAACCCTAGAGATGGTTGTGCGTGAAAATCCCAGTAGATCAGCAGTTTTTGAAATACTCAGACCAGCCCGTCTGGCACCAACAACCATTCCGCGTTCAAAGTCACTTAAATCCCCATTCATTCTGATGCTCGGTTTGAACTTCAGCAAGTCGTCTTCACCACATCTAGATGCCTAAATGCATTGAGTTGCTGCCATGTGATTGGCTGATTAGCAATTTGTGTTACCAAGCAATTGAACAGGTGTACCTAATAAAGTGTCCGGTGAGTGTATATATATATATATATATGTATATATATATATCAAAATGACAAACTAGATCCATGGAGTGGGGCACATTTTGGGGGGAATTTTATTATTATTATTATTATTATTTTTGTATTATTATGTTTTTTTTTGTTGTAATTAACAGATAATCTTTAGCTAATGCATGATGTTAAGTAGACCTAACCATCATTTTACCTCTCATGAAGAAAACGGAATAAAAAAGATACAATTTTTTTATAGACATTTTCCTATCAGTGTCTCAGTAACAGAATACCTAGAATCCTCCCAGTTCCCTAAATATCAGAATGTGGAAGTGAATGTACCTTTCGTTTAATTTAAGGAACATGATTGCATAATGGATTATTGTATAAGGGAGGTGTTCTTTCGATTTTTCATTGAAAGAAGCAAGTGACTGCATATTTTACTACCATTTCACGGTCTCAGAAAATGGTAATGGATTGCTCTGAAGAATACATTAAAATGGAGATGGAATGTGAACCAAAGAAATCATTTCGGAGAGGTTTGAAAGATTTATAAAATCACATTCTATTTGATACAGAAAGAAACTCTTTGAGAAATAGAGAAACTAACTTGAATCTTAAGGCATTAAACTAATTGGACTTTTACAGTTTAAGTCCTGCAATTACATTTTTTAATGTCTTGACACCTTTTTAAATTATCACTACAAAAGCAACTTTTATATCTGGAATGTAATTGAAATCGAGAATGCCATTTAGCAACATTTTTCTTCCATCAGCTTCAATTATTGATCACATTCATGTGCTTATTAATGTTTTGTGCTGATACATGTATCATTAGTACTTTTGCTTATACGCTGTGCTTGTAATATTACTCTAAACTCTTTTAAAGTATTAAAGTCTAAGGAGGAGAAGAAATGAACAACATAAATGAATCAAGGGTATGTTTTTGTTCTCTGCAGGTATTCCATGCAGGAGTCAAACTGGCATCCTTGTGCTTCTAGGAACAGTCTGCATGATTATTTTTATGGTCTTGACTTCTGTCATCTGTGAGTGGATTAAAATATTATGTTATAATATTATTTTTTATTATTATGATAAGAAACTTTTATATTTATATTTTGTGCTATACATTTTTTTTCACCATTTTTCATAGTTGTCCAGTAGTATCACCAATTAATTTTTAAAATATTACAAATATTAAATATATTCTCTCTATTAATATGATATTATAAAGCTGTTTAATCATACAAAAAAATATTGTTTTGTTTTAAAATAGATTTAGAGTGTTACAGTGTTCTAAAAACTGCTCAGTTAACTAATTAACCAGTAACTGTAATATGAATCTTGTTCTTAGCTATTAACCGAGTTTACATAACCTCCAATGAAAATCAGAGATTTGCATTACCACATGAAGAGAAGCTGGAAATTGTCAGTTTGCTTGCTTGTCTATCTGTTTACTTTGGTTCAAAGATTCCCATCAAGAACGAAAGTTCTCGATGCTGGAGAGTTGGATGAAAAGCCATACTTCTGATCTAACCTCAGTCAAATCTGATTTTCAGAACACAGGTGGGAACTTCATCATCATTGTCACAGATCAGTTTTGGTGACGGACTTTTAATGAACAACTGCTTTTGATAGGAGGTGATCTAGAAAAGAAGGCTGCTGAGCTGCAGAACTTAGTGTTCAGCCTGAGTTCATATTTCAACACGTCTGGATCAAGTAACCCAGAGACCAGAGGTTGGTGTCTTGCCTTGTTTTATTTTGTGACAGATCGCAAGACCATTTAATTGAATTAAAAACAATTATTTGCATGCAAGAATAATATAATAATTAATGATTTTTTTTTTTGTTGGTAATATTTTGATCATAAATTAACCATAAAGTTTCAACATAACACTTTTCAAATGTCCTCCATGAAAAATGTCACATTTCTAATGCTTGTTTGGGGGAAAATATTTAATGCAATGAATTTTTGCATGATTCAAGTTTCTGACTCTGATAGAAAAGTCAATCTCAACAGAGCATGATGGCTAACTATCCCTTTCCTCTTTGACTTCTGACCCTGAAAATAGTCTAAGATATGATATGTGCATAAAAAGCGTTGATTGTTTCCTTATTGTCTGTCTCTTTGACTCTATATGCATAAGAAATGCAAATAAAGAAGTTGTCTAATATTGAGACCCTGATGACCGCTCTTGGCTCGTCACTTATTTGATACAGAAAGAAACTCTTTGAGAAATAGAGAAACTAACTTGAATCTTAAGGCATTAAACTAATTGGACTTTTACAGTTTAAGTCCTGCAATTACATTTTTTTATGTCTTGACACCTTTTTAAATTATCACTACAAAAGCAACTTTTATATCTGGAATGTAATTGAAATCGAGAATGCCATTTAGCAACATTTTTCTTCCATCAGCTTCAATTATTGATCACATTCATGTGCTTATTAATGTTTTGTGCTGATACATGTATCATTAGTACTTTTGCTTATACGCAGTGCTTGTAATATTACTCTAAACTCTTTTAAAGTATTAAAGTCTAAGGAGGAGAAGAAATGAACAACATAAATGAATCAAGGGTATGTTTTTGTTCTCTGCAGGTATTCCATGCAGGAGTCAAACTGGCATCCTTGTGCTTCTAGGAACAGTCTGCATGATTATTTTTATGGTCTTGACTTCTGTCATCTGTGAGTGGATTAAAATATTATGTTATAATATTATTTTTTATTATTATGATAAGAAACTTTTATATTTATATTTTGTGCTATACATTTTTTTTCACCATTTTTCATAGTTGTCCAGTAGTATCACCAATTAATTTTTAAAATATTACAAATATTAAATATATTCTCTCTATTAATATGATATTATAAAGCTGTTTAATCATACAAAAAAATATTGTTTTGTTTTAAAATAGATTTAGAGTGTTACAGTGTTCTAAAAACTGCTCAGTTAACTAATTAACCAGTAACTGTAATATGAATCTTGTTCTTAGCTATTAACCGAGTTTACATAACCTCCAATGAAAATCAGAGATTTGCATTACCACATGAAGAGAAGCTGGAAATTGTCAGTTTGCTTGCTTGTCTATCTGTTTACTTTGGTTCAAAGATTCCCATCAAGAACGAAAGTTCTCGATGCTGGAGAGTTGGATGAAAAGCCATACTTCTGATCTAACCTCAGTCAAATCTGATTTTCAGAACACAGGTGGGAACTTCATCATCATTGTCACAGATCAGTTTTGGTGACGGACTTTTAATGAACAACTGCTTTTGATAGGAGGTGATCTAGAAAAGAAGGCTGCTGAGCTGCAGAACTTAGAGTTCAGCCTGAGTTCATATTTCAACACGTCTGAATAAACTGACAGAAACCCTGAAAATAGTCTAAGATATGATATGTGCATAAAAAGCGTTGATTGTTTCCTTATTGTCTGTCTCTTTGACTCTATATGCATAAGAAATGCAAATAAAGAAGTTGTCTAATATTGAGACCCTGATGACCGCTCTTGGCTCGTCACTGAGTTCACTCGCATCCAAACAAGAAGAAAACCTACAAAAGCTGGGTGAGCACTGGACGTACTTTTCAGCTTTGAATCCTCAAACATAAAACAACATTTCAAGGGTTTGAAGCTGTTTATTAACTGGCCTAATGATGAAACGTTCTCTCGTTTTTCTCCTTCAGAGCGCCAGCAGGATGTGTCACACACTGAAGTCAAGAGTTTGATGGACAGTTTGAGTTCTGCACTAGCGGCCCTCAGGAATAAACTGACAGAAGACAGTTTGATAACATCTATTGTTTCTCTACAGTCTATTCCACGCACACAACGGCTCTTGAGTAAGACCTAAAATGATATTAATTAAAATGAACTGAAATATTCATTTAAAATCCAAATGTTACTAAACATTTCATTTAAAAATTGTAAATATTCTACAGAATTACGTTTTTCCTAAATTAGAGGAAATCATGCTGATATATTGTTTTTTTCTTCAACTGAAGTGGACATGTCAAGCTCACTGTCGGACCTGAAGCATTCAGTAGGGTTACTGAGATCATCTCTTCAAACTCTTTCTTATAAACTATCATTTACAAGTGAGTACATTCTAAACCCAAGGTGCAATATTGCACTCAAATATAAGCGGCTTCTGTTTTAATGCAGAATAACCACTGTTATTTCACCTGGAGAGTTCATAATGAAGGTGCACAAGGCAGCGCAACAAGAATGATAGCTTCAGTTACAGTATTTGATGATGGTCAATATAAATGAGGAGAAGTATTGTGGGGGTAATATTCAGCACTATCTGGGTAGGATTAAATGTATTTAATCTGCTTAAGACAAAAAAATGTGTGTAGAAATAAAAAAAATAGGTCTCAGGGTGTGCAAAAAAATACTTAAAATCATACAACATCAGTAAAGTGAAATAAGAATTTATGAAACCACCTCATAGAGAAAACTAGTCCTGTCCAAATAGGGTTTATAGGAGAGGTTCACCAATATGAAAATTCAGTTGATTTCAATTAATTGTTCAATTAGTCATGTCCTCTTTTAATTTTTTGGTATCACTTTACAATAAAGTGAAAAAGTGAAGTGAAGTGAGTGTGAAAAAGTGAATAAGGTTCATTAGTTAACATGAACTAAGAATGAACAATAATTCTACAGCATTTATTAATCTTAGTTAATGTTAATTTCAACATTGACTATAATGCATTATTAAAATCAAAAGTTGTGCTTGTTAACATTAGTTGATGCACTGTGAATTAACAGGAACTAACAATGAACGACTGTATTTTCATTAACTAACATTAACAAAGATGAATAAATACTGTATGTACTGCTCATTGTTCTTTCATGTTAGTTAATAACTAACATTAACTAATGGAACCTTATAGTAAAGTGTTACCAATTTTGTTTTTACTGTGATGTTTTGATTAAATGTATTGCATGACTGAGTAAAAAACAATAATGTATGTCTTTCACGCAACACCACTTTGCACTCTTTGTTTCTCTCGCTTACATAGACTTACTTACACCAGGATGTACTGAATCTGATTGGATCCCGTTCAGAAACAGCTGTTACCTGTTCTCACATGACACAATGAACTGGACCAAAGCAAAGGATTACTGTGAAGAGAAGGGTGCGTTACTCTTAAAAATAGAAGCTGGCTCTGAGAAGGAGTGGGTGCGTAACAGACACAAACACACCCTTTTCCCTTAAAACCTTCCATTCAGTCTTTCAGAGATTCTTAACAACTTTTATCTCCCTTTCTAGCAATTTGTTACCAATTTTGCCAAACCACATGACTACTGGGTGGGTCTAACGGACCAGAACACAGGCCAGTGGAGATGGGCAGATGACACTCCTTACACCATGAATAGAGAGTGAGTTGAATATAGAGAGAACTGGATATTTCGGTTCTGGATAATTGAGTCCGATTATTCAGAACTCACATTCATGACCAAATATAAACAGATCGACATGATCCATGATCATATACTACCATATACTAAGTGTTTACTATTTATTATCTAGATTTTGGTGGCCCGCCATAGTCTAATCTGTCCCACCACAGTTTCATAATGAACCAAAAATATTTTAAGAAGCCGATCAGTATATGGGATGATTAGGAGGCCATGATGATGGACAGAGGCCAATGGGATGGCCAGGATGCAGTATCCTGAATATCTTTGTCGTAGCATCCTTTCAGGGTTTAAGGGGATTTCCCACGGCTGGCATTAGTGCTGTTCAATGCATGGACTCAACAGCATTGTTTTTTTTTATGAGGTGAAAGGTCAACTTCAGCATTGACTGAAGGGTTTAAAGAGGACTTTTGCTTTCCGCCACCTACTGGCATAACAATGTAACTACACTGACTAGTGTTGATCGGTACTGCTGAAATATTATCATTATATAGTCAGTGGCATAAAGTGGTCTTAAAGGGTTACTCCACCCCAAAATGAAAATGTTGTCATTAATCACTTACCCTCATGTCGTTCCAAACCCGTAAAAGCTTCGTTCGTCTTCGGAACACAATTTAAGATATTTTGGATGAAAACCAGGAGGCTTGTGACTGTCCCATTGACTGCCAAGAAAATAACACTGTCAAGGTCCAGAAAAGTATGAAAGACATCGTCAGAATAGTCCATCTGCCATCAGTGGTTCAACCGTAACGTTATGAAGCGACGAGAATACTTTTTGTACGCGAAGAAAACAAAAATAACGATTATTCTCCAAAATGGCGCTACGGTGATGCGGAGAGACAAATTGTTGAGATGAAAAGAGACGAATTGTTGAATAAAGTCGTTATGTTTGTTTTCTTCGTGTACAAAAAGTATTCTCGTCGTTTCATAACGACAAAATTGTCATTTTGGGGTGGAGTATCCCTTTAAAATGACAATAATATTTTTTATCACGATTATTTCTGGGGAAATATATCACCCAACAAAAAGTAGTTATCGTGACAGGCCTACTGCAAGTAAAACAATATACTTATGAAATTATTTACATTGCATTTGTTTTACAATACATAGCCTACTACTTGTCTAAGGTATAATAATAATAATATAAAAGTATAATTATTAAGGTCGAAGTCAATTTATTTATATAGCACGAATAAACAAATAAACACATTAAAATATTATTATATTTTAATTGTTTGCCTTCTTAAAACAACAGTGTGAATGTAATGTTGACTGACACACTTTATCACAACTAAAAAGAGGTTTCAGTCAAGGTAAAAGTCAATGCAAAGAATTTTCACACTGAACATTTGTTTGAAGCTCTTTTTTTTCTTTTGTTTTTTCAAAGTCTGAACGTTTTGATTGATGCACTTAACTTTAAAATCTACAAACTTTTCTTGACAGAGGTCCTCCCACCATAGTCTCGCAGAACCCTGTGGGAAACACTGCTAGCATAATAAACAAACTATAAATGAATATGCAACAGATTTTAGTTTTTATTTTTGCAGACACTGGAGCCCTGGGCAGCCGGATGACTGGACCGAACACGGCCTGGGGGAAGGAGGAGAGGACTGTGGGCAAATTGCATATAATGGGATGCTTAATGATGCCCACTGCTCTACCAAAATGAAGTATATATGTGAAATGCAAAACTGAATAAAGAAAATTCTGAAAGCGCAGTGTAAATAGGCTTTGTTTTGACTGTATTGAGTTTTCGATGGTGTGTGAACTGTGTAAATTACAAATCACATTAATGATGTGTTTATCAGTGTTGTGGTGTAGTTACTAATATGACTAAATTAATATATCATTCTACAAATTAGCCTTTCTCGTTTAAACAGTAAACCAACAGTAAACAAATCAACAAGAACGTCTCAGGTTACTTATGTAACCATGGTTCCCTGAGTAGGGAACGAGACACTGCCTCCTCTAGGGGTTGCTATAGGGGCGCCTCGTCGTGACCCGTGTCTGAAGCATACATTGAAAAAACACCAACTCGTTGGCCGGCGACAGCCATGACGTCACTACCGGTGCGACTATAGTATAAATAGGCGCCGGGAGCACACATCATTCACTTCTTCGTCTGAAGTTTGCGTCCGCAGCATGGCAAGATGATGTGTGCTCCCGGCGCCTATTTATACTATAGTCGCACCGGTAGTGACGTCATGGCTGTCGCCGGCCAACGAGTTGGTGTTTTTTCAATGTATGCTTCAGACACTGGTCACAACGAGGCGTCCCCTCGATCGTGATCGTGAATTGGTAGGTTTTTGTTAAATGTGAGCCAAAATCATCACAATTAAAAGAACCAAAGACTTAAACTACTTCAGTCTGTGTGCACTGAATTTATTTAATACACGAGTTTCACAATTTGAGTTGAATTACTGAAATAAATGAGCTTTTCCACGACATTCTAATTTATTGAGATGCACCTGTATATTCACATAGCAAGGTTTTTTTATGTAATAGTTTTGCTTTATTCTAAGGTATCGAAATGTTCTCTGCCATTCGTGAATGTTGCCTAGGATGTGGTACATCACTCAGGTATTTTATCCCGGTAACAACAGCAACATTTAGTCATCTAATTAAACATTGTAATGTGCAACAAGAAATACAGACCACTCAATGACTAATTGATTATGTGTGCGCATGCGCAGTAGCCTCATATGCTCACGCTGCACACGCTTTAAAATAAACAAAATATTTTAATCAAAAACAGAGATCTTTGAGATCTCTGTGATCTAAAATGTTGATTTTGACATTTGACAAATTCCAAAAAATAACTTAATAAAACAGTATAGGCTACATAGATGTAATAGCTAGGACAAATACAACCATACGGCAAAATACATGTATTATTTACCAGTATATTTCTTGGATTTTTTTTTTTATATAATTTTAAATATGTATTTTGTCCTCCAAATATTTCAGTCTAAGAAATAAATTCACATAGGTCACCGTCACGATCTCCAGTTGAGGTGCCCATGAGCTCCTCTAGAGGGCACTCCATCTCAGACTTTGCCTTGCCCTGGATATACAGTAGTTGTTTGCTGGTGTTCGAACTTGCCTGTTTTGACCAAGATCTGTTTTAAAGGGGTCATATGATGCTATTTTAAAGATCATTATTTTGCATTATTGACACTATTTTCCTAATTAATGCTGTTCAGTTGCTTTGACACAATCTGTATTGTTAAAAGCGCTATATAAATAAAGGTGACTTGACTTGACTTGACATGTGGGGGCGTGTTAGAACGAGTCGTTTTAGGTAGGTGTGGCTGACTCTTAACTTTTATAAAGAATATCTCTTTGGATTTGAGTCCATAGAGATAGTCTTTGCAACTTTACAGATCTTCTTTATGCACCAAGAGCTTGTAACACTCCAAAGAGAAAGGAAAACTTGAAATCGCATCATATGACCCCTTTAATAAAGCTTGCATTTCTACAATTCCATTGTCACGGCCGTCCGTTACAGTCACATTTTCAAATTGTGTTTTTCTGTAACACATGAGAACATATACCACATTTTGATTAAAAAATAAATCAGCAAGGAACATACTTTATGTAAAACTACATAAATAAAATAATAATTAAGTCATTATAAAGCTTTGATAGGCTATTCCATCCATAGGCTACTGTAAGAAATCTTTTCTTTTCATTTTGAAACATATTTTGGTATGTGAAGGTTGAAACTAAATATATTTTCAACTTCAAAAATATATTTAATTGAGCTTCATTGTTTACAACATATATTTAAAATATGTTTTGCCAGAAATGTTTTTTAATTTAAATTTTTTTTAGGCTGTATAGGAAAACTTATGTTAAATGTTAAAAAGGTTAGTTGTGTGTTAGCTATTATGAAGTTGTGTCACTCAACTGAATAAATTAGAACTGAGGTGGTCTAGCAAACTGGGAACAAACGAGGCAAACAAACCATAGTGCTCTTGAGTGAAAAAAAAGATGAAAACACTGAGCAAGCAGTCGTTTAGCTGATGCGTTTATCCAGAATGACTTTGTTACAGGACCCCCATCTGAGGTGAAGTGCCTTGCATTGCTCCTTGTAATGAGGAACTGAAAGTGCTGTTATATACAATGCACAAAAATACCCTGTCATATGGTCATTTCAGTGGCGTTGTTTCGAAAGGGACTATTAATAAGGGAGGCGTTTTGGATCCTCACTATAGGAAGCAAGTAACTGCAAGAGCTGTTGTCATGATGCTATATCAGAAAAATGATAGTTCTGAAGAAATCATGAAAATGGACATGGAATATGAAAAGAGGACGACATTTCGCAAAGGTTTGCTAGATTTATGAAACTAAACTGTATTTGGTTCGGAATGAATCTACGTTTTTGTGTTATATATGAGAGAAAGAGAGATTTAGTTAGTTTTCCGGAACAAATATCGATACATTCTTAGATCTAGATATTTAAGTAAAATTACACAAGTGAACAAGTCTTGTTTTCTGAAAAGTGCATAAAAATTAAGTGACTTTGTTTAAAATAAGATCTATCAATGGGGGTAAGAAAAATAAACTTGTTTTCCATTTAAATTAAGTTTATTTCTTTTACCCCACTGGCAGATATTTTTTCTTATTTTAAGCATAAACTCATTTTAATATTTTTTTTTTTTTTCCAGAAAAAAGACTTAATATCTTAAGTCATTTTGTTTAGTAAATCTTGATTATCAATGGGGGTAAGAAAAATAAACTTGTTTTCCATTTAAATTAAGTTTATTTCTTTTACCCCACTGGCAGATATTTTTTCTTATTTTAAGCATAAACTCATTTTAATATATTTTTTTTTTTCCAGAAAAAATACTTAATATCTTAAGTCATTTTGTTTAGTAAATCTTGATTTAAAAATGTTAATATATTTTTACTGGAAAACAAGACAAAAATACTGAGAAAGGACATCATTTTTGCAGTGTTATGTCTGAGAACACTTTATAATCACTTCATTAATAAAAAATAAAAATGCATTATATAATGCTTAACAAAATAAACATTGAAATAGTTACAATTATTAAGAAACTTTGTTTATATTTGAATGTAAATTAACTACTGATCTGAACATAATGCTAATTAATGACTAATGTAATGTAAAGTCAATTCAATTTTATTTGTATACTCCTCAAGCAGGCACGTATTTAATTAAATTTCCTTATGTCAAACATTATATATTTGCAATAATAGTCATGTTAATAAACATTCCTGACCATATTGCATATGAGTATATTACTTTAAAGGCTAATGCAAATTTGTCACAAAAATTTGGCACAAATGTCACATTTTCTAGTGAAAGAATTGTAAATTTCTCGTGGTGTGTTGTTTTTTGCAGATCGATGTAGCAGACAAACTGGCATCCTCCTAATTCTAGGAGTTTGCATGATTGTTTTCATGACCATGACTTTTGTCATCTGTGAGTGGATTAAACAACATACAATCTTTATGTGTCATGATATAAATATTATAATAAGTGAGCTGTAATGCAAAAAAAAGGAAACTGGAAACTGTAATTGAAAAAAGTATTTGCAGAGTATTTATACATAATGGTAATGTTATGCTGGTATACATACTGCCTTTATATTAAGCTGATTAGACAAAATCTTTGTTTTCGCTCATAGTTTCGCATCAACAAAGAAAATTCTCGATGCTGGAGAGCTGGATGAACAGTCAGAGTTTAAATCTAACTTCAGTCAAACCTGATCTTCAGAACACAGGTGAGAACTTAAAACAATACTTCACACAAAAATGATAATTAGCTGAAAACATACTCATCCTCAGATCATCCAAGATGCAGATTTAAGAAATGCAGCATTGCATCACTTGCTCACCAATGGATCCTCTGCAGTGAATGGGTGCCGTCAGAATGAGAGTCCAAACAAGTGATGTAATGCTAAATTTCTCCAAATCTGTTCAGAAACAAACTCATCTACATCTTTCATTTTTGGGTGAAGTATTCCTTAGATCCCTTTTTTTCTAAGCAATACATACTCATATTTGAACATGCATATCTTCAGATCAAGCAATAACTAGTGATTAGTTTCTTGTCTTTGCCCATTTGTGCTCCTTAACTTCAGAAAAAAAAGTATGATATTAATTTGTATGTCTCTATCACTTTATACAACATAAGAAGTGCAAGAAAAGTCCAATATTGAAACCTTGATGATCAATCTTGCCTCTTCATTGAGTTCAATCATTTTTGTAGGAAAACCTACAAAAGCTGGGTGATTATGTACCTTTAAATCTTCCAAAACCAACACATGAATATGAGCTGTCTAAATAAATCATTTCTTCACAGAGCGTCAGGATGTGTTATACACGGAAGTGAAGAGTTTGATGCTCGGTTTGAGTTCTGCAGTATCAGCGCTGACATCCAAACTAAATGACGCAGGTCTGCAAATCTTTTCATTTCAAGGAAATGAGACAACCACAAGAAATCATTTTAAGAGCAATCTCTTTGAACATATATATTCTTCATTGTTTATCAATCTAATATGATTTTTTTCCCTTCACAGTTGGCAAGCAGGACCAGAAACAGACTGAAACAAAAAAATTATTAGACAGTTTGAGCTCATCTGTTACTTCTCTACAGTCTGATCAACAAAAGAAGCAGCGTGACTTTGGTAAGACAGAAACCTAAAATGAATATACATGTTCTATTATTTTATTTTTTTTATTATTATTTCTGCACCCAGGAAACTTAAGGAAAGTAATAAGTCATAAAAATTTCTAAAGTGAACATATAATTCATCTGGAAGCATGTGAGCTCAGAAAGCTAAATCTTAAATTGGGCCGCATTCAAATCTCAGCATTATTATCTTATTAGAGACATGTGTGAATATAATTCCAAGGAATTTCAATTTCAAGGAATGATACAAATGTGAAAAATATTCATATTTAATTTCAGAGAAGTAAGTGCAAAAAGTATAAAGGGAATTTGGTCATTTTAATTTTTTACATTACTTAATTACATGAACTAACAATGAACAATACTTCAAAAGCATTTATTCATCTTAGCAAATATCAATATTTGTGACCCTGGACCACAAAACCAGTCATAAGGGTCAATTTTTTGAAATTGAGATTTATACATCATCTGAAAGCTGAATAAATCTACCATTTGTTATGATAGGACAATATTTGGTCGAGATACAACTATTTGAAAATCTGGAATCTGAGGGTGCAAAAAAATCTAAATATTGAGAAAATCATCTTTAAAGTTATCCAAATGAAGTTCTTAGCAATGCATATTACTAATCAAAAATGAAGTTTTGATATATTTACAGTAGGAAATTTACAAAATATGTACTTACTTTACTTAATGTCCTAATGATTTTTTGCATAAAAGAAAAATCGATAATTTTGACCCATACAATGTTTTTTTGACTATTGCTACAAATATACCTACACTCTTAAAAATAAAGGTGCTTCACGATGCCATAGAAGAACCTTTTTGTCTAAATGGTTCCATAAAGAACCTTTAACATCTGAAGAACCTTTCTGTTTCACAAAAGGTTCTTTGTGGCAAAAGAAGGTTCTTCAGATTATAAAAAGGTAAGAAAGAGATGGTTCTTTAAAGAACCTTTGACTGAATGGTTCTTTGTGGAACCAAAAATGGTTCTTCTATGGCATCGCTTGAAGAACCTTTTTAAGCACCTTTATTTTTAAGAGTGTACAGCGACTTAAGACTGCTTTTGTGCTCCAGAGTCACATTTACTAATGCATCTTTAAGATCTGTTAACATTAATTAGTGCACTGTGAACTAATATTAATATGAACATATATATATATATATATACTGTATATATTTACTCATTATTTCATGTTGGTTATGCAATAACTAATGTGAAAAAATGAGACCTTATTGTAACGTTTTAGGAATACAGTATCCAAAATTGTTATGAGGAGATGTTGATTATACCCTTATATATGTTTTATGTATGTTATATATGTCTTTTTTCCATATTTTCTCATTTATCAAGCCTTTATTGCTCTGCACACAATGATCTTATTAATATACCGTATTTATGGCTTTTGTCTCGTGTTGAAGAGTCTCTGTCGAGCTCACTGAGGGACTTGAAGAGTTCAGTTTCAGATCTCACTTCTTCTGTTGCATCTATTTCTTCTCGACTATCCGTCAACAGTGAGTAAAACCTTACATTACACGTGCAATACAGCACTCGATTCAATAACAGTCCAGTAAATGCAACATCTTCCCACAAACTTCTTGTTCACAGTGCAGGATGTGTCGCAAAGTGACATAAAGAGTTTGATGAACAGCTTGAGTTCTGCAGTGTCAGCGCTGACGGCGCAGCTGAATGATGCAGGTGTGGAAATCTTTCAATAACATCACATAAATATTACTATCTGTGGATTTTTAAACTGCAGTCCTTTTTCCCTCCCAGTTAACAAGCAGGACCAGAAACAGAGTGAAACAGAAAGATCACTGGACAGTTTGAAGGCATCTATAGAGTCTGATCAACAAAACAAACAACGTGACTTCGGTAAAAGCATTATTATAAGCTATTGAGATAGAAGCATTAATACATACAAATCTGCACAGAATAATAGAATGTCATATAATAATTGTATTATGCACTTCTATAATTGCTCCTAGTGAAAAGAAAAATCACTATAAACTCCTATGCGCACAGTGACCTTGCTGATACTGTCTAATTTACGGCTTTTGTCTCGTGTTGAAGAGTCTCTGTCGAGCTCACTGAGGGACCTGAAGAGTTCAGTTTCAAATCTCACTTCTTCTGTCGCATCTATTTCTCCTCAACTATCAGTCAACAGTGAGTAAACCTTACATTATATGCGCAATATAGCACTCGATTCCATAACTCTACAATCAGGGTGTGAATTATAGAGTGAAGTGGTTTGAACCCCTCCAAAGGACATCAAAGTGAAAGTATTTAGTCAATATTTTTCATAAGACATGCTTCAATAGTTCTATTTGAATGAAACAAGTCTTAAAGGAATAGTTCACCCAAAAATGAAAATTTGCTGAACATTTACTCACTCTCAGGCCATCCAAGATTAGGATGAGTTAGTTTCTTCATCAGATTTGGAGAAATGTACCATTGCATCACTTGCTCAGCAATGGATGCTCTGCAGTGAATGGGTGCCGTCAGAATGAGAGTCCAAACAGCTGATAAAAACATCACAATAATCCACAAGTAATCCACACCACTCCAGTCCATCAATTAACACCTTCTGAAGTGAAAAGCTGCGTGTTTTTAAGAAACAAATCCATCAAGATGTCTTTGACTTTAAACTGTCGCTTTTAGTCAAAATACGAGTCCTCAATCTATAATATTGCTTTCTATCCAGAAATATGCACAGATCAAGCACCGTTTACAAGCATAAACAGTCTAAAACTGTTAAAAATATATGTTGGAGGATTTTGATGTGAGAGACAACAGGAGATGGACTTTTTCACTAGAGGAAGAGTTATTATGGATTATGGACTTGTATTTTACACAGAGGCAATGGTTTGAAGTTAAAAAGTCTTAACGATGGATTTGTTTCTCACAAACATGCAGCTTTTCACTTCAGAAGGTGTTAACTGATGGACTGGAGGGGTATGGATTACTTGTGGATTATTGTGATGTTTTTATCAGCTGTTATCTTTGTGCTTTTGTAAAAAAAGCCTTAAAGCAGCACTATGTAACTTTTTCTGTCTTCAAAATTTGCAAAATGTATATAATGAGCGAGTACATCATGAATTCATCTTCCAAACCGCGTTTTTTTCTTATTCCGAATCACTATGGTACACTTATAATAAGTACTTATATTTGGACTATTGTAGTAGGGCTGCCACTAACGATTATTTTTATTTCGATTAATCTATCGACTAATCTATCGATTAATCGGTTAATCTAAGCGATTAATTTCCCACATAAAAATTGCAACAACAATTTTACTTAAGAATATTTTATTAAACTATATTTTATTAAACCAAATTAAATCTAAATTTCTATGAAATCCTCTTTTTAAAGCAAAAGTAAAGTGCAACAGAGTGCAAGAAGCAAGTGTCCATCTCATAGTCCAAATCACTGAAATCAAAGTTCAGTATTATAGTGTAAGA